TCTACCTTCAGCTTATTTGTCTCAGTCACTTTATCTCATTTCTGGACATGTGCTGATATGGTCATCTGTTTTCTGTGTTTGGACATATTCAGTAGTTATCTGTAAACTTGATACTTAGATGGGTGTGTATTTTGGTATTTTTTATGCTTTCTGATGGCCTCCAGGTAGATGTGATCAGGAAATGGGCTTCCCTTTTCACTCTTCTTCCTGAGAAATTTCAAGATACCACTGTTGTTCATTATGACGTAACTCAGGATTTAATTTTCAGCCTGTTTCCTTTTTAGTCTGCCTGTCCCACTCTTCAACCCCCATTCAGGCCCTTTTCCTGGTGATAAAGAGTTCAGGTCCAGATGTGGCCATTTTACACTGCCATTTGGTTTTAAGTGGAAATTGTCCCTTTAAATTTTGAGGAAATTTGTGTGCATGCGTAATAGAACCCTCCAGAGGTAGGGTTGGGGTGTCCACTCACTCAGGCACCCCTTCTAGTCACCAGAATGGAGGTGTGCAGCCAGTGAGAGACCAATGAACAGATTAAAAAAAAAAGAAAAAAAGAATGCCCACCCCTTTAACTCTGCGGTTCTGTCAGGCATCTATAGCTGCTCTGATCCTTCCCCTATTTGGTCTTGTCCAAGATGGTGGCTCTGGGAACAGCTGAGAGCCTTGGATTATAAAGCACTTGATTTCTTGCTTCTGATACAAATTCCACTGGCTGTAAGCCTTACAACTTTCTAAACATTCCTTTATATGTGGTTCAGAGCTCTGACAATATCCCCTGAGCCTGCTTGGTCCGGTAGTCTGTGTTGTTGCTGACTGAGATCCTCACTGCTTCTTTGTTCACTCTAATTCTTTTCTTAAATGATATTTCAAACATGTTGTATACGGTAATTCCCAGTACTTGGAATATAGTTTACTCTTGACAATGCACTTGCCTGAATATGAGGGATATTTGTTCACTTTTATAAAGATTATTACATGAATGGAAAATATATAGAAAAATTCAGAATATATTTTGTTGTTGTCAGGTGCCATCGAGT